CCCCGAAAAAACCCAACCTCAGTCTCACAACAACTACCATTCAAATTATTGATTACTGTAAACAACAATATAAGAGTTATAGATCTAGATCTAGTTATTAGGTCAGATAGACACAATCAGTGGCCACCGTCAGCTGCGATTTGGTAAGTGCGGAATAGGGACCGAGTTTCTTCTTACTTGTTGCTCTTGTTGTTGCACGCGGTCAGTATTTTATTGCGTTCTGGGAGTGGGTTGTGTGTGTATGTGTGTGTGTGTGTGTGTGTGGGTGTGTGTGTGTGTGTGTGTGTGTGTGTGTGTGTGTGTGGGTGTGCGGGGGGGGGGGGTGTTATACGTGATTATTGTGGGAATTGGAGGACTAGGAATTATGGACCTCCTTCTCAGCCCACCCCCCGGGGCGGTGCTACTGACTGAAGTGTCTTTAGGCCATTCCCAAAGGAAGGGGGAGGGACATTTCTTGTTCATGCACAGTAGAATTGTAAATGGGCAGATTCATCAATGTCACGCTCATAACTGTGCCTACAACAGGGAACTGCTGCTTTTTCTTTCCTAATCCTTACTATTGTCATTTTTCCTCTACTTCTTTTGTGTGTTTGTCGTACTCTCGTGGCCCACTATTTTCGGGGTGCCTTAATAGTCGAATCAGACTTTGTGCTGTTGAAGCTAGGGAGGTGAGCAGAGTAAGTCTGATTCCCTGCAAGGACTTCTCCATTGATATCCACCCCTTGGCGCTCATACGACCTTATGCAGTTGCGAGCGCAGTAAAACCTCTATTAAAACTTTTTTTAAACTTCTCAGCTCGGACCTTTTCGGGGACAGACAATCTGCCTCTTAAATAAATTAAACTTTAAATTTAGCTTTAATAGTGCTGATAAGATTTCACGTTTATTGATCCACGTGGGGAAATCTGGTTTATAACAGCATTAGAACATACGTAACTATACAAATGTTAACGTCAGTGCCAGAATTCACAATAACATATTATTACATCATTAAAAACAATCAATACTACGCAGCTCGTCATAAGTAGGGTATAATAAAAATGCTTATATATA